TAGGTTTACTAATCTAGTTATAGTTTATTTAGATTTAGTAGTCTTATTAGTCTAATAGTAACTTTAAAGTATAATTATTAGCTCCTATTCTATATAGGCAATATAGCTTATATATACTATAGGCTATAATAAACTATAGGTAAATATTTTATATATTTACTATAGATTATCCTTCTCCTAATACTATACTTTAGCCTACTCTATAAATACTAGTAAGTAATATTAGCTATTAATAATCTTAAGCTTAATATTACTATTAACTTTAGACTAGTTACTAAAGTTATATAGCTCTTAGGATTATACCCCTCTCCTTAGGCTAATATATATATATATCTTCTTTAGATTTATAGTAGAATAAACTACTTATATATAGTTAAGGGTAACTATATAGTTTAGTCTATAGTTCTTAGTAAAAGCTTTTATTAATATCTTAATATACTAGAGGTTAATAGGATAGTTTTTACTATCCCTCTATTTTATAATAAGGGTATATACTAGTATATAAGCTATTATATTATACTATAGGGGTAGCTTTAGAAGCTCTTAAGGTATTTCCTTTACTTTCTTAGTTTAGCTACTCTTACTTAGAGTAGCTTTCCTCTTATATATAGCTCCTACTATACTCTATATTATTAGTATAATACTAAAGTATTAAGGTATATAGGTAAACTAATTATAGTATATAGCTATATAGTTCTTATAGAATAAGCCTATAATAAATAATCCTATTTACTTATCTACTTATAATACTAATAAATAGTTTTCTAACCTAGTTACTTTTAAAATATTTTACCTTTAAAAAAGATAGTAGTTAAGTATTTATTATTACTATATAAAGAATATTTCTTATTTTTCTAGTATACTCTTTAATATATAGATCTTATTCTATTAAGTAATATACTAGAATAGAACTAGTCTAGACTACTCTTATAGTATTAATACTATTACTCCTATTTATAATATAGCTAAAACCCTAATACTATAAAATAAAGTAAAAAGTATATAATAACTATATTAGTAACTTATTCCTTAATTATATATACTATTCTTACTATTATATACTATTCTTAACTTAGCTAGTAATATATACTATAAATATAGGGTAGGGAGGTTTATAAGCCTAGTAATATTATTATATAACTATTTAGAGTAGGTATTTAGAACTAAATCTAAAAGTATAATAAAGATATAAGAATTATCTAGACCTTAAAAAGTTAATATTATACTAGCTTAAATTTACTAATAGAAAAGGGGGAAATAAGGATATTTAAAAAATAAAGCCCTTATTACCCCCCTAGAAAAGAATATTACTTCCTTAGTATTTAGTTTCTTTACTACCTTTAATATAATATTATTAGTATATTAATTCTAGCTAAATACTTTAAAGAATAGATATATTAAAAGTTTAATAAGTTTATAGATAAGTATACTAAATAGTGCTACCTATTAATACTATATATAAGCTTATAAGCTTTAAGGCAGTATTAGGTTTAAAATATAGCTATTATATAAGGGTAGATTTTTCTATATAAGATATATTATATATCCCTATTTCTATAGTTATTATTTTATTCTATTTTAGAATATATATTATATAATTACCTTTATTATTATATATACTTAGTAAACCTAGAATACTATCTTTATTATATAATAACTTTTATTTATAGATAACTTTAATATAAATACCTATACTAGTTTATAGATAACTTTAATATAAATACCTAGGCTAGTCTATAAATAACTTTAATATAAATACCTAGGCTAGTCTATAAATAACTTTAATATAAATACCTAGGCTAATATAAAGGCCTAGGCTTA